CTATTGGATACTCCATAACTACGATCCAATGGGCAGAACCTTAACATTGCACTCTGGTTCCAAGCTTGATGTGACAGAAGATGATGTTGAATCTGCCTTGGGCTTCCCAAGGGGACCAATTGAAATTGCATATGAGAAAGACAGGTTGTCTCCTACTCTCCCACTGTTCTTGGATTGGAAAGCCAAGATTCAACCAAAGAACCCAACCAAAGTCATGTATGGTGAGGCTATTAAAGCAATGATGGAGTGCACTGATTGAGGAGACTGGTTCAAGATCCACTTCATGGTGATACTAAGCTCTATGTACATCGATGGCCCTAAGAGTGGCTATGTTGGTCCACGCATCTTAGATACATTAAATGATATCTCCAAAATCCATGAATTCAATTGGTGCCGCTTCCTATTGCAGCGATTGAATACTGCAGTACTTGCTTGGCAACCAACCCCGACTGGTTATTTCCCCGGGTCCCTCCTGTTCATGCTTGTAAGTCTTACATATGTATTTGTTCTATTTAAATTACAAAACATAGTACCTTCTGTTGCTAACATTTGTCATTTGTATTCAGGTACACTATGTTGATAGTGTTCTGTTACAATTCCATAGACCTGTTAAAAGAGCTATTCCAGCTTTAATAGGATGGACAACTAAACATTTAAAAGACCGAGAGTTGGAAGAGTTTAAGTCTGGGGCTTTTGGAAGAGGCAGAATTCATAAACGTAATCCCCAGTTTGTGCCCACTCAAACGTATTCAGAAGAATTTGATTGTACTAATCAACCGAAAGTGGAAGCTTTTCCTGCTGTCAATGGTCAACAACATACTGAAGTACAACCTGTGCCACTTGAAAGAGTGAAGGTGTGTTCTTCATTCTATGACGTTTTTTGTTCATTTTTATTCAAACTACTTTCACTTATATTACTGTATAATTGTAAAGCACATTATGTTTTACCATAACACGCACAATAATTCATGTGCTTGCAAATTTAAAGATCCTATTCCACGCACATTATGACATAATCGTACGCACATTAATTCTTGCAACAGGAATTCTGCACTGGTTATGTACAGTTTATGCAAAGGTTTTCTGGTGAGATGGTAACCTTGATTGACTACTCAAAAAATTCACCAGCCATGTTTGAAAACAATGAGACTCTAAAAACCCTGCATTCAATGGCTATGAAGGCACTCAGTCCTGTAGTTCAAGGCGTGCAATCATGTCTCTCCCAGGAAGAGCGGGAAGCATTTAGCAGCCAAGACTCCTTTTGGGGCGATCCAGAAACATATATTGCAATTGACCTTGCAATACAAAAAAGGAAAGAATATTTGGAAGAACAGCTGTATGAAATTCCAAGTTTCAACCTTTTAAAAATACCAACCCCAAGCCCCACTTGCAACAATGCTGATACTGCTACAGTGACCTCCGTTGCCACTTCCAATCCAAAGGAGGCACAGACAGAAACCAGCATCTCAGATGATGTTTTAAATATTGCTGCTTGTTACGTTGTTAATGATCTTCAGCAGACTACTTCGAATGGGAACAAGAATGACCAGTTTAAGTCTTGTGACGAAGAGCACCATGCTGACAGTCCAAATAAAGAACATGTTGAAACACATAACACTCAGAATACAAATAAGAAAAGTGTTAAAGAAGCTGCAAAAGAAGCATCAACACCTGTTGAGGAAAGACTACAAACACACTGTGCGCAAATCAAAAAGATCTATTCGATGGACTATCCATGCTTTACAATGAACCTGAACTTCACTGCACCGCACACTCCAAATAAAATCATGCTCAACAACTGGGTTTATACCGCCAATAATACAAATAAGTAAGTTACATTTCAAATTCCTATATGTAAAATGAATTTCGTAACAAGTTAGTGTTTCCTTTATGCTATTAAATGTTAGTGATGTGTGTGAGTTTTATACTTAATATGCCTGAAATGTCTGCTTAATGTGCGTCTATGTAATGCTTAATGTGCGTCTATGTAATGCATAATGTGCGTCTATGTAATGCTTAATGTGCGTCTATGTAATGCTTAAAGTGCGTCTATGTAATGCTTAATGTGTGTCTATGTAATGCTTAATGTGCGTCTATTTCATGTTTAATATGCCTGAAATGTCTGCTTAATGTGCGTCTATGTAATGCTTAATGTGCGTCTATGTAATGCTTAATGTGCATGTGTATTTACTTACTGATTTTTTTACTTCATATCTGAAAATTTTTGTAGGTGTGAATTTGTTTTTAAACATAGAGACAAACGTTTATTGATGATTGAGTTGAGGTCATTGAGAAAGGGTGAAAATGTGGAAGCAGGTGTTTTGGACACTTGGAGCTTAATTCTAAATAAAATCTACACCTTTAAGTATTGTAACAAAAGGCGATTCTTTTTCTCAACGACACCAATTGTAAGTTATTTTATTATTGATTTATGATTTCATGCACATTAACAACTGTCTTGAAGCACACACTGCAATGCTAACAAGATTATCATACTCCTGTAGGCATCTTCTATTGTGTATAAACCACCTGGATATAGTACTGATCAGCTGTATGAAAAGTTTCTAGAAAGCGTTAATCATGATATTGACACTGCTACTGGTGACCCTATGAAGTGTCGTTTGGTAAATTAAATTCTACATACTTAAATTACATTTGTATTTATAATTTCTCTGAACTAAAAGTGTACAAAATGCAGTTCTTTAATTTTTCCCAGTGATTGCAGCTGATCAAATATATGTCATATGCATTCATATGGATATCTATCATACATGCATACACATACTTGACAGCTCTTCTGCTGATGTTGCTGGTATTGCCAAATATGGTCAAATACCATTTCTTTTGGTGAGTACTAATTAACACATTATAAAACATTTTATGAAATCTAGTTTTTTCTGTATTTAATGCTTTTCTATCTATTTGCAGAAAGACTACTTTGTAAGATATTTGAACGAAAGGAATTCATACAGTGCTGCAAACAGACTTATAAAAGCTACACCTGAAAGAATGCTAATCCAATGTAGTGGCCCCGAGAAGAAAGGTGATTGTGGAGTACTTACAATGTGCCACATGCAAACATACATTGGGGGTGGAGTGATTGGTTTTCAAACTGACAGCAGTGAAATTAAACCATCAGATCTTGCAGACCTCAGGGTCAAATACATTACAGCAATTTTGACTGCTGAAATCAATGAATTGTCTGTAAAAAACATGGAAAAGGCTGGTATTAAGTTCGAAAAATAATGAATATTTTTTATTGTTAAAGGATTTATTAATTTACATTATTTCAATCTTGATGAAAACTACTTTGTAAGATATTTGAAACACATTAATATATATTTTCACGCATCTTGTATGTTGCATGAACGCATATTAAAAATCAACTTAATTCATACAATTTATATTCTTAATATGCGTTCACTTAACCTTTAACGTGCTTTTAAAAAAACTTTAATGTCCGTTAATTTTCGTGACAAATAAAAAGTTGAAATAAAAAATTACATTACACATTGCTTAAGTTCATATCTTAATGAGCGTTCGTTTGCATACTAAAATAACATGGAAAATAATTATTATTAAAAACGACTATAAAAAAAAAAGAATATAAATTCAAATAAATTAATGTGCGTTCAAAAACACCATTATGTGCGAGTTATTAAAATACAACGTGCGGGACCTCAGTTCTTGATTTCCGTACGTTTGAGTACCAATTAAAATAAATCATTTCGAAAAACTCCTTATTATGCGTCTCATATCTCCTTAATATGCGTCTCAAATCTCTTTGATATGCTTATCATATATCTTTAATATGCGTCTCATATCTCTTTAATTATGCGTCTCATGTCTCTTTAATATGTGTCTCGTAACTCTTTAATATGCGTCTACTATCTCTTTAAAATGCATCTGTTATATCTTTACTATGCGTCTCATATCTCATTAATGAACATCCGTCCATCTAACACTTACTATGCGTAGATGTAATACACAATGTGCTAGAAAAATATAACTTATCGTTCTCCATTTTCATAACCAAATAAAGTAGATCAAATTTCTGAAATAAAAAAAAAAAAAAAAAAAAAAAAAACAAATGTATATCCACGATAACTACATACTATATAACAACAGAAAATTGAAAAAGATTTGGAAGCAAAAACAATGGAAGTCGCAATGCTAAACGATCGAGAAATGATCGACAACTGGGCGATTCTTTGAAAAGCAAAAACAACGGCGACGGCAATGCGAACGACGATATAGAACAGCGATGAAAGTTAATTTAATCAAAATTACTAAATTCTCCCTCAGTACGCGAATACAATTAAAAGTACGTGAATTTCAAACTTTAAGATCAACGGTCAGGATATTTGTAGTCATTAAGAACGAACGACATCCTCGCAACCCACAACCGCACCTAACAGTGCCACCCGCACCAGAACCCTTGAAACACTATATATATATATATGAAACACTATTATTAAAAAATCCTTGTTTACAAGTCCTTGCCCACAATGCAAAAACAAAATTCCTTCACCCCATATCTCGAGTCAACAAATAACAAAGAGATAAATCATGATAACTCAGTAGCGTATTAGGTGAAAAGACCAGCGATTAATGCCCACAAAAAAAATCCTTATTAATTTATTTGTATTTACTAATGATGATCTCAATAGTTTCAATTTCGTCGCTACCTATTGTTCTAATCAATATTATAATTTTACCATTCTCCCAAAAAAAGCCTTAGTGTACGTGTTGATATAATCATTAATTAAGGATTAACCAACAACCTATATATATTAATTGAATGGTGTGTTTTAGCTCCATTAGTTTATTCATAAGGACATTAATAGCTAGGATACAAATATATAATATTCATAAGGACATTAATAGCTAGGATACAAATATATAATATTCTCGATAATTTTATATCATACAAGACATAAGTACATAACTAACTTATGATAATTGAAACTTTAATAATGTTATTTGTTTTTTTACACGAATGACACAAGCTCATAAGAAATCAATTCAAAATACATTACATTCAAAATGTTCTTTCACCACACGTACAGTAGAAAATAAAAACATTATTATATATAGTAATTTTACTTCAATTCAACACCTTTAATTTAAATTTCTAATGATGTTTATTATGAAGCTTCATGATAGCAAGCAAGACAAGCAAGAGAAAAAAGGCAGCAGCAGCGAGCGACACCGTAACAGCACCTCCAACTTGTCCACAAAATCTCCCAAAAACGTTGCACACTTTGTTCCACCGCACATGAGAGTTACCTTTGTAGCCAAGAAGCCCAACCGCAAAGGCTGCTCCGCCGCTAGAAAACAGCAGCGCCACCATCACTAGGTCAAGTACGATCACCACTAACGACGCCACACGACTGCTCTTTTGTCCTTTACCTACCGACGTTAAGACCAGGGAGACAACGGCGTACCCACATGCAATGGCATTCACCACAACGAAGTACCTTTAAGAAAATGTATAGGGAGTAATAAATATGATTGAATATTGAACGTACATTCATTACAGTTTATATAGTTTGGTGCACCAATAAGTGGAATTGGACAAACAATCATTGAAGTTTATATAATTATATTAGGTGAGAGAAATAAAGTAATAGGTGGATCGGAGTTGGAGAAGTACGTAGAAAGTATTAGAATTGAACAATCAAATTGAAGTCAGCAGCAGCTAGCTAGTTGCGGTTCATCACATCAACATTAATGCATGCCGCCATTCACAGTTGACAGTTGAACTCAAAACAACTTATGTTCCAAGCATTAATTCTTGCATGCGTAAGCCATGCGATATATACTACCATATATATATATATATATATTTGCGACCACTCATACCATACAATCAACCACCATATATATATATATATATATATATATATATATATATATATATATATATATATATATATATGTTTGCATTAAGTAAGAACCACTTCTTAGATGAGAACTGCAAACTTGTACATGAAAGCACAAACTACAATATACGAGACACACAATCTACCGTAAGGTATATTGTGTACATTCATGTGATTCTCATGTTCTTACTATGGATTAGTTCTCATTTGATCATTAATATATATATATATATATATATATATATATATATATATATATATATATGTGTGTGTATGTGTGTGTGCGCGCGCTATTTCATCCTTATCATCATAATGACAACAACAACAATGTTAATGATCGTAGCAAATTAAAGACAACAATTCTAAATAATACTAATTTTTCTACTAAAACTCACTATATAATGTTCACTTATGATAAGGCCCGAAGTATTAAAAAAAATTCTTTATTTTATTTGCTATATATAAATTAATTGCTCCCACTATAATTAAGTTAATAAAATATTTATGTAATAGTCAGGTAAACAAAAAAAGACATGTAATAATAACACTTGTAAATATTAAGGGATGGTTTTATTAAAAAAAAAAAAAATGTAACATTGCCCAACAACTTCAAACTTGATCTTAAATTTTAAATGAACTATCTAGTTCACCAGATTATTCGGTTATTGAAGTAAAGACAGCAGCTGTGCCAGTATGTGTATGTATAGAGAGGAGGAGAAATTAATGCGGGTATTTGTATAGGAAAATAACAAGTGTATTTATGACATAAAAATATTTTTAGTACGGTTTGTCCTCTTATGTTGTTTGTGGATTATTATATGCACATGAACCGGATTTACTTAGTGCAAATTTTCGAATAGTAACTACGCATTTCTATTGTTGTCTAAAAATTTTTTTGCTATTTATACTGCTCTAGCTTTGCTAGAAGAAAAAAAAAAGTTGTGAGATACTTTTTTCTAATTCAATAACTTGTTAATTGTCACATTAACAAAGAGGAAAAGTATGTGTAAAAGGATTGCACCCTAATTTTGAGAGATTTACATCTCTTCTTCTAGAGACGTGGTGGAGCGTCTAGTTGTATAAAAATAATAAAAAAAAAATAAATTAAGAAAAAAAAAAACCTTGTGATATATATACAGCTCTCAACCGTACCACCGAATTGTGAGAACTACATGTTTATATGTACCCAAAAAAATCATGTTTAGAAAAATTGCATGTTAATATTTAACAAAAAACTTAACACAAACTCATTTGGAAGTTCAAAATCATGCATGCCCTGATGCCCACGATAAATAATTAAGGATAAAATTATAATTATCATAACTCGAAAGACAAAAATAAAAAGTATTTAACTATTATTCATTGTACGGTAGTGTGATGGTATCCCAGTTACCATTCCATTTGGATGGTTATAGACTTGAACTCCGGTGGTGGGGACATAGATTCTTTGGACTGTAAATGTTTGAGAAAGTATAGAACAGATAATACCTTGTAAAAAATAATGAGTATTTCAAAAAATAAAACTAAAATTAATTGAACCAATTATTATGTAGTATGATGACACTTCTCTATTATTATTTTTAAAATGCACAAGTGTCAAATAAGCCCATCTACTACTGCGAAATGCTCAATTTCCACCACGAACTAAATTAAGTGTCAAATAGGTCCATCTACGAGTTAAATTTGTTCAATTAGCTTTTTTTACAGGTTAATAACAGGTTACCTATTTAATTATTAAAATAAATAAATAAAATAAAATAAAATAAATAAAAATAAAAATAAAAAAGAATACAGCCACCGGCTGTCCTCGCCGGATAGCCGGTGGCTGCCATTTCAAAGACAGCTGTGGCTGTCCAGCGAGGACAGCCGGTGGCTGTATTTTTTTTAAATAATTTTTATATTATTTTGAAATTATTTTTTTAATAACTAAATTGGTAACCTGCAAAAACAAGTCAATTACCTGCAAAAAAACTAATTGAATAAAATTAGTAGGTAAGTGTGGTTAATTAGCGTTTAATTTAGTTCATGGTGGAAATTGAGCACTTGACAATAGTACATAGGCCTATTTGACACTTCTCGCTTTTTAAAAACAAAACCTAATATGTAATGAGTGGCAAACTGGGTCAAACTTGTGACCTTTCAAAGAGTTACAATTATATGGCTTGACCACAAAATCTTTGACAGAAAGGTATAATATAGTTATATATATACTTACACGAAGGCAGACATGTATTTCCACTCAGCGGTGACCGGAATATTCATCGCCGGCAACGTGGGGATGATCTGCATGGCTACAACCTTAGTCTGCTTGTCCAGTCCAAGAACTAGGGCGGCCGCAAGGGTGTTTGCAAAGGCCAGAAGCCTCAAACCAAACTCTGCCCACCTCATATTTTGCTTCTTAGCCACCGCCAACTCTTTCACTTGCCCACCGCCCACCTCCATTCCCCGTTCTCAAAGCACTATGTTAAGAAAAAAAAAAATACTCTAAAAGGGAAATTAAATGAGGACTTGTAGGGGGTGATATGGAAGATGGATGAAAATGGATGAGGCCATGAGGCTTATTATATAAGCATGTGGTACGCATCCATCTGTGGACCAACCACCCGTACTTCAAATAAAAATACTTCGATTTGAACTACTTTTAAGAATAAGATGTGAGAATAATTACTTTTAACATTTAAAGAAAATTCTTAAATTTCAACTACTATAAATAAAATAAAACAGTGAAATTTTTGTAAGTAATATGGAATAGAGTTTATGTGCGGTTGTGTCTTCCCGTGTGGTCAGTGCGACCGCATCAATAGTTATACAAATATGCACCAATAATGTTAGGAAATGCACAATAAAAAAATGCACAAATTAGTTACGCATCACAAAAAACGCACCATTAGGTATGTATAAAAGCACCACACAATGTTCGGAAATGCATAAATAAGTGTGAAAAATATAATGCATTTTTTGAGTGTGTTGTGAATTTTTAGTGTATTATTTTTAGTGTATTTGTGCATTTCATTGTTGTGCATTTTTCAACACCATTGATACATTTTTTCAAGTGGCTGCACTAACCGCATGAAAAGGCACAACCGCATTTAAGCAGAAGAAGTCAGTAATATAATAATTTTATTTTCACATAAAAATATCACTCGTGTGTTGCTATTTCCAGTTTTAGTTGTCATGCTTAAAAAGGAAATAGGAGGATAAACTTTTTGTTTTAAATCAATCTCTGTTTTTTTTTTTTTTTCAACAACTTGAATTGATATGGCACTTATGGGACGTGGATGAAATGACACATGTTTCTTTTAATTTAATTAGATATCTTAATTTAACATGATTAGTTTTGGTGTGTGAGGTTTTAGTATATTCTGACTAAAAAAATATATGGTCAAACAAATATTTACGTAGAAAATTTTAGGACCCTAGCCAGATAAACTTACTTTCCGACCACTTCTTGTGAATGTCAAACATTTTGAGTAAAAATTTTAAAATTTAAAATTTTTGGCTGGCGAAGTTTATAAATTTTCACTTCACCTATATCTTGTAAAGGTCAAAATTAAATTCAAGAGAAAGAAGGGAAGAAGAAGAGGAAGAAAACGACGGCCAATTGAGAAGATGAGGAACAAATGGAAGACAATTTTTTTTTTTAAAGCAAAGCATAGAAGGTATCTCTCACAAAACCATTAAAAAATATTATGTGAGCAATTCAATTACAATGTAATATCTGTTAATACATACTTTCTCAACTTATTGAAGCACAAAAAGGCAATACCACCACTAGAGTTCAAATCTGTGCATTTAAAAAAGTCACTGCTATGCCACTTGACCACAAGGTCTTTGGCTCTTACCCCTTTGTTAGTTTTACACAATTTTTAACATATAAGTAAAAGAATTTCTTTTATAAGTTTTTCTCTCGCCCTATTCGCGAGTTCTGTCGTTTTTCGTTTTTTTGACTGATAACTGTTAAAACTTCCGTTTGCAACTGCTTCTCAAGGCGGTTCACTCGCTTCTTCTATGGCTGCACCGGAGATTACTGATAGGTGTGCTCAACTTACACTTGCGGACGTGGATGACGAAGGCATATCTTTGCAAGTTCCTGATCATACTGTTGATGATGGGGTTGAGGATGATGGATTTTATGCGGTGGGTAGATTGGTGACTGATAAACCAGTGAGGTTCGCGTATTTTCAGGATACTATGGCCGGTGTATGGAGACCTGCCGTGGGGGTGAATATGCGCGAGTTGCAACCACGAAAATTCCTATTCCGATTCTATCATGATGGTGATCTTACTCGTATTTTGAACGATGGCCCTTGGACTTATGATCAAAGTTTGTTGCTTATGAAACGGGTTCAAGAGGGTGTTGATCTTGAATCCATTCCCCTTACTCATGCTGACTTTTGGGTGCAAATCCATTCCCTGCCGGTAGGTTTACGCTCGGCTTCGGTGGTCATGGCCATTGGCTCCTTCTTGGGCACGTTTGTTTCTACTGATGAGCGTAATTTTGATGGGGGTATGCAGACTTTCTATAGGGTGCGAGTGTCTTTGGATGTGGTGAAGCCTCTCAAGAAACAAATGAAACTGAAACGTGATTCGGGTGAGTGGGCTGTTGTTGATTTCAAGTATGAACGCTTGCCGAAATTTTGTTTCTTGTGTGGTGTGATTGGGCATGGTGACAGATTCTGTCTTAAGGCGCTGCAGGACTGTAATCTAAACGCGGTGAAACCTTATGGTTCGTGGTTAAGAGTGAATCCTGGGCGTGCATTGCCAAATCAGAATCAATGCTGGATACCCCCTGAATCCACCATAGAACGTCGCCGCTGGATTTCTCCGGTTATGGCAGAGGCTGCTTCCCATACTGTTGATATACATGGTGAAGGCAGTGAGATTCAGGGTGATAGAACCACTTGCATGCAACCTACTGTTTCTATGGACTCTGATGAGTTGCCCATTTTGAACATTGGCGATCAAAAGAGGAGAAGGGTACTACAATCTGCTTCAATTGGCCAGGCTTCTGCATCTGTTAGTATTGGTGAGAGTACTTATCTAGATAACAATGGTGTTCCGGCGGGACTTGCAGTGCAGGCCCGCCAAGATCAATGAGTCTCTTATCTTGGAATTGCCGGGGGCTTGGCAACCCGACGGCAATTCAGGTGTTAGCGGATATGATCCGCTCGAAGAGGCCTGTGGTGGTTTTCTTAATTGAAACTTTTTTAGATAATAACAGAATATGTTTGTGGATATGATCCGCTCGAAGAGGCCTGTGGTGGTTTTCTTAATTGGAACCTATTCGTGTACAACTCGGTTATCAGAATATGTTTGTGGTGGATGCAATTCGTCATAAAGGAGGCTTGGCGCTATTGTGGAAGGATCCTGTTCAAGTACATATTTCAGGATTTTCTAGCAACCATATTGATTCACACGTGACTCTTGATGTTCTTAGACCTACTTGGCGATTCACGGGATACTATGGATACCCTGAAAGTACTCGACGCCGTGAGGCATGGCAGTTCCTACGTACATTGGCAGGGTTGAGTACTCTCCCATGGGTTATTATGGGAGACTTCAACGACCTACTATCGCAATCTGAAAAGCGTGGCAGACTCCCTCATCCTCAGTGGTTGTTGTCGGGTTTTCAGAATGCAGTGGCGGATTGTGGGTTACAGGATTTCCCGTTCTCGGGTAATCAATTCACTTGGGAGAAGTCTCGGGGTACTCCTAACATGATCGAAGAGAAACTAGATCGAATCTTTGTCACTGATTCCTGGACTTCGATTTTTGACAGGGCATATGCATGCACATTTGGCTGTACTTACAGTAACCATTTACCCCTTATCCTTTATCCTACGGTAACGGAGGTGCATGGGAGAGGAAGGAGGTTTTGCTTCGATAATGTGTGGCTCCGGGAGGATAGGTGTAGGGAAATTGTAAGTAATACTTGGGACCGTAATTCTGGTCGGCATATATTAGAACGCATGGCAGCTTGTGGGGTGAATCTGTGGAAGTGGGGAAAGGGATACAACAAGGATTTCCATCGTAAAATTGAAACTTGTAAAAAACGCCTTGAGATGCTACGTATGGGTAGGGATGCTTCCAGTTTCCTAGCTTATTCTAATACTGAACGTGAGTATTTATCCCTACTCGATCAACAACATCACTTCTGGAAACAGCGGGCGAAGGAACATTGGTACAAAGGAGGCGATTTGAATACACGATATTTTCATAATTCTGTGAAAGCCCGAAGGAGAATGAACAAGATACATGAGTTACGTAGAGATGATGGTTCTGTTGCTAACTCTATAGAGGACAAGGGAGATGTCATGGTAAATTATTTTGATTCTTTGTTCACAGCCACTACGTGTGAAATGGGAGAGATTTTACAGCATATTCAGCCCCGGGTCACCGCTAATGAAAACACTATGCTGCTCTCGGAGGTTAGCTTATATGAGGTACGGAAGGCTGTGATGCAAATGCATCCAGATAAATCTCCCGGCCCTGATGGACTAGGTCCGGGCTTCTTTCAACATTTCTGGGATATTATTGGCCATGACGTGACCATGTTTTGTCGCGATTTCATTGGAAATACTACTCTTCCTGCAAAGGCTAATGACACTTTAATTGTGTTAGTGCCAAAGAAAGTCAATCCAGACTCCATGAAAGATCTTCGACCAATTGCCTTGTGTAATGTTTTGTATAAAATTGCTTCTAAAGTTTGTGCTAATCGGTTAAAGCCTGTACTTCATCATTTAATCTCTATATCACAGAGTGCGTTTGTACCCGGGCGATTAATTTCAGACAACATAATGATAGCATATGAGATACATCATTATTTAAAGCGTAAGACTCAGGGGAAGGAAGGAGCCGTGGCCTTAAAACTTGATATGAGTAAGGCGTACGACCGAGTCGAGTGGTCTTTCTTGCGTGAGATAATGTTGAAAATGGGATTTGATGTTAAGTGGGTTGCTATTATCTCTGAAATGGTTAGTACTGTGCGTTATCATGTTTTGTATGATCAGTGTCAGTTTGGCCCGATTATACCAGGTAGAGGACTCCGACAAGGGGACCCCATGTCGCCTTATTTGTTCCTTTTTATTACAGAAGGTTTAAACTCTTTAATAGATCATCATATATAACGAGGTTTAATCCTGTTGAAACCCTAGGCCCGTTACAGTGGGCCCATTAGGTTATAGCTAGTTTTCAGTATAAATTATTGTAATCTGTACAGTTCTAAGTTGAGAAATAGATGAAACCCTTCACACTTTCACATGGTATCAGAGCCTAAACCCTAGATAGTTTTTCCCCTCTCTTCCCCGCCGCCGCGCCGCCGCCGCCACCGGAGTTTCACTGCCGCCGCGACTGGTCTTCTCTCTCCGACCTCTGCCTGGTGGTTCTTCTCCTAAACCGAGACCACAGGCCTCACCGGAGCTCCGTCGCGAGTCTGTGCCCAGAGTCCGGTCGCCATCCGCCGCCGCCACGCGCCGTCGCCGTCGCCGGGAACCGCCGCTGTTTTCCGGCCATAACTCTCTCCTCCGATCTCCGATCGAGACGCCGTCACCACCATTGGACTCGTCTCGACGAGACGCTTCCGGGAGTGTTGAACGTTTTCCTCGCCACCGCCCGCCGCCGCCGTTCTCCGGCCACCGCCGCCGCCGCCGCCGGTCACCGCCGGTCAGAGAGAAACAGACAGTGTGTTTTTTCTTTTTGGGTAATCTCTATGGCTTCCTTTACCTCTTATCCCACCATTACTATGGACAAATTGGTTGGGAGTGAAAACTACACTTCGTGGGCCGCTTCTGTGACACTCTGGTTCAAAGGCCAGGGGATGTTTGATCATCTAACCAAAAAGGTTGGGGAAATTGAAGAGTCGAAGAAATCAGATTGGGAGAAGTCAGACGCGTTATTGTGCAATATGTTGTGGCAATCCATTGACCCTAAATTATATCTTATTTACAAGTCTTATGACACTTGTTATGATGTGTGGAATAAAGCTAAGTCATTGTATACTAATGATATCCAAAGGCTATATTCCCTTGTATCTAATATGCTTAATTTCCGTTCCACTGCTGATATGAGTACACAGGATTTCTTGGGTCGGATAGAAGCTTTACAGCAGGAGTATCATAATTTACTTCCATATCAGGAGACGTCAGAAAGTCATATGAAGCAGTATGATAAGTTCTTTATGGTGATGACCTTGGCTACCCTTCGGCCTGACCAGGTTCACATTCGTGATCAGATTTTATCCAGTCCTAGTGTGCCTACCTACACTGACGCTGCTGCCAGACTGCTTCGTATTGCCTCAACTCCCTCAGTTGAACCTATTGGAGAGTCATCAGTTCTAGCTACTCGAGCTGTGGATAGAGGACCTTCTGGACCATCTAGTGGTGGTGGTGGTCGTCGTGGCAAACGTCCTCGGTGTGAATACTGCCACAAAGATGGTCATACCAAAGATCGTTGTTGGAAGTTACATGGCCGGCCTCCCCGTTCTGTTAATCTGGCCCAGGCTGCTGCATCCGAGAGTCAGACTCATGAGCCAACCTCTACCCCAGTTGAGATGACCTCTAGGGAATATGAAGAGTATCTCCAACTTAAAGCAGCATCCCGCCTTGAATCTTCCACACCTAATGCTGGTACTTCCTCTTTGGTTTGTCTTTCACACGCCAATACTCCAAACTCTTGGATATTGGACTCAGGTGCTTCAGATCATATTTCTGGTAACCTTTCTCTTTTGCATAATGTGTCTAAGTCTAAGACTTTACCCATGGTCACCTTAGCTAATGGTCATCAAACACCAGCAATTGGTGTTGGTCAGGCTTCCCCTATATCGTCTTTTCCTTGGAGTCTGTTTTATATGTCCCTAACAGTCCCTTCAACCTTATCTCTGTGAGTAAAATTGCCCGTACTCTCAATTGTTCCATAACCTTTTGTGCTGATTCGGTTGTTGTGCAGGATCGCAGTACGGGGAGGGTGATTGGCACCGGCAATGAGTCACAGGGCCTCTATTACATGCGGGGTGGTGATGTTGCTGCTTCTGCCTCTACAGAGTCTCCTTTACTTATTCATAGTCGTTTGGGTCATCCTAGTCTCTCTAAACTAAAACGGATGGTCCCAGGTCTGTTTGTTGAGTCTTTTGATTGTGAGTCGTGTCATCTTGGAAAGCAATCACGTCAGTCTTTTCCGAGAAGAGTCAATAATCGGGCTGCGTCCCTCTTTGATTTAGTTCATTCAGATATATGGGGTCCTTGTCGTGTCAACTCTATTTTGGGTTTTCGTTATTTCGTAACCTTTATTGATGATTATTCAAGGTGCACTTGGGTTTTCCTTATGAAAGATCGTTCTAAATTGTTTCAGATTTTTCAAACTTTTTGTGCTGAAATACAAACTCAATTTGGCAAACTCATTCGTGTTTTGCATAGTGATAATGCTAAAGAATATCTCTCTCATCCTTTTCAGTCATATATGACATCTCGTGGTATATTGCATCAAAGGTCATGTGTTTACACACCTCAGCAGAATGGGGTGGCTGAGCGTAAGAATAGACATCTAGTAGAAATTGCCCGTACTATGTTGTTACACTCCCATGTTCATTCTCAATTCTGGGCTGATGCTATCCTTACTGCTTGTTACCTGATCAATCGCATGCCATCTTCTGTTCTTAACAATGACACCCCATATTCCATTGTGTGTCCTTCTGTTGATCCTTTCCCTATTCAACCTCGTGTTTTTGGGTGTGTTTGTTTTGTTCATGACATGACTCCAGGTCGATCCAAATTAGATCCTAAAGCAGTCAAGTGTCTTTTTGGGTTATTCCCGTGTCCAAAAGGGTTATAGGTGTTATTCTCCAGCACTAAAGCGTCACTTTGTATCCGTAGATGTCACCTTTATTGAGTCCACACCATTTTTCCAGTCCTCATCAGGAGACACGATCCCTGTCTCTGAGGTGCTCCCCATACCTTATCTTGGTCCACTTCCTCTTGTCCAGTCCACTGTTCCTCCAGCTCAACCAGCTCCTCTTAACCCGCCTCTTCAGGTTTATCACCGGCGTCCTCGCCCTGCAGTTCCTGAGGTCCCTAGTGACTTGCCAGTACTGTCCGATCCTCCGG